GAACAAGGTCTTAATTCTCTTCTTCTCTGTCAGCTTCTGCTAATCAATTAGAGAACAGAAGTATTACTAAAAATTATTATCTCTTAATAAATAAAAAACTTATCAGTTTTGACTTCTTTATCTCTTACTTCAACACTCTCTCAATCTTCTTCTATTATTACTTATTTACAGTAACACTCTTCTTCTCTCTCTCTCTCTTTATCTTGATCTCAAATTATTCTCAGAACTTCTTCTGATCTTATCACTACTGTATAAGACTCTTCACTATCTTCTTCTTCAATCTCTCACAGGTAGTGTCATCTGTATTATTTCTATACTTAGTTCAGTTTAAATCTATCAGAAGTATTACTTAAAATCATTATTATTTTACTCTCTTACAGAGCCTCTTCAAGGCATTATAATATGTCTTATAATCTGTCTCTTCTTACTTGAACATTTTCTTCTTCTCTTTCTTCAATCTGTGACAGTGCTCACGCGCCTTGATGATCTGCAGAACTGCAGAATATTTGAAGAGAAATGACATGATTAATTTCAGTGAGTATTGAAGAGAGATGAAGACAGAAGAGATAGTCAGAAATGATATAATAATAATAATAATAATAATGATAATAATGGTAATAATGATGATAATAGTGATAATAATAATAATAATAATAATAATAATAATGATGAAAGAGAGAGTGTATTGAAATATATTACTGACTTATCAAATATAAAGAGACTTAAAGAAAATATTAACAGCTTTTAGTAATGTACAGAAACAGCTACAGTGTTGTATAGTAATATTATCTTCATTTAATACATGCACTGTTGATATTCTTTCTATGCAGTTATCATATAATCTGTATCAGAGATACATGCAGAAAACAGATCTTTGTTACTAGAATAAATGATTACAGCAATTCTCTGTTTTTATATTATAAAGATAAGTTGTTTTCATTTCTTTCTTCTCTCTTTTCTCTTCTTCAATCAATCACTAATTTCAAGCTGGTATGAAAACTATTAAAACACTCTCAGAAACTCTCAAATTGAAGAGTATAAACTAATCAAATTTTAAATACAGAAGAAATCAAATTATCTTCTATAGATTCAATTACTCACTCTCTCTCAAATAAAACAGCAGTCACATTTCTTCTTCTTCTCAATTAAATAAAACATGACTCATGAAAAGTGAGTATTACATCAGATTATAATAATCAACACAGTCTCAGCACACAGAACTGTATATACACAGTATATACTGAACTGAGAGACTGTATGAATTGCAAACTGACAGCAGCATCTCAGAGAGAGCTGTGCAGTGTGAGAAAGCTGTAACTCTCAGTTATATATGCAGAGAATGAATCACTGCAGTAAGTGTATATATATTGAAGTAATACTTTTTAATAACACTCAGTCTCTGATATGATGAAAATAGAGTCTCTCTGTGAGATCTGTTTTTATCAGAAGTCAGAAGATCTTATATTTCTCAAGATTATCTTTACACATCTTATCTGTGAAATTGATGAGAGAAATCATCAATTTCAGTGTTCTACTCTTAATATTATTCAAGTGACAGCAGAGTTCACTCTGATTATACTTTTTAAGTGTATGTTTTCTAATTATTCACATTTATATAGATATATACTGATTATTTGTTAAGTAATATTAAGATAATAACTTATCACAGTTATATTATTCTCACTATAAGAGATATACAGTTAATAATAAATATTATAAAGACTCTGAGAAATAAGTATTTTAGAAGTATTATAGCTCTGTAATCTTGATTTTTTTTATTTTTATTTTTTATTTTTTTCTTTTTCTTTTCTTTTTTTTTATTTTTCTTTTCTTTTTTTTTCTTTCTCTTTCTTTCTTTTTCTTTTTTTTTTTTTTTGTTGTGATTTTTTCTTATTATTTTATTTTTTATTTTTTTTGTTATTTTTTATATTTTATATTTTTTTTTTAATTAAAATAATATTGATTATAATCTGTGTTCAGAAAAGTAATAATATTTAATAACACTCTCTGTTAAATTTTCAACAAATGAGTACTATGTTATGATATTATATAAGTGAGAAATAATTTCATAATTTCATTTAATATCATTTTCAATAATGAGATCAGAATAAAAATATAACTAAGAATTCAAATATATTCTTTATCTGAGACTAGATTTTTATTTGAAAAGTGAATCTGAGATCTTTAATATTTGAAATAACAGAATTTGAGATCAATATAATGAATACAAATTATGATCAGAAGTAATGCTTTTAGACAATATAATAACTGTAAAGTTTAATTCTGGTCTCAGACACGGTCACACAATCAGTCTAGACACAGCCTGCTACATTTTATAAGAGAGGTTGAACGTGGTTGGTTGTTATTATCTAACTAGTAGCTAGTGAAAGCTAAATATATGTGTGTGGGTCACGTGGGTTAGGGCTTGTGTAGTAGCTCCAACACATTTATACTGAATTGATTATTAACTGATTTTCAATCAATTATTAATTACTTAAATATATAGATTAAATCTATTTTTATTACTATAATCAATTCAGAATCAATTCAGAATCAATTTAAAATTAATTTAAAATTAATTATTAAATATTTTTATCTTGATATATTTTAAAATTCTGTAAAACATCTCTTTATATTCTATATAAATTTATCTGTTCATTTAATTGATTATGAATCAGCTATACATGCTTTGATTGATTGATAAGCTGAATGAATGAGTGAATTGAAAGGTTGAAAGTCAATTACCAACTGATTATTACTGTATTTGTAGGCTACTGGGGCAAAAGAGCTCAATCACCACCAGCGCCTGCTGGTAGAAGGGCCGACCAACCGCGGGACCCCCAACAGTATTGTGCGAGGTCGGGGTCATGATTATGTAACGAGGTCAAGTGGCGCACTTAGCGAGGTCAAGTTTTCTGTATACACGCTTCAGAGCTAGCTAACAGCTTAGTTAGTTAGTGGTTCCCAGACGCGGGGATAAGAGCTTGTACAAGGTTAAACGTGCAACCGAACAACGTCTTAAGTGAGTGGTGAGAATAGGGGTAAGGAGATCCGCGAGGAGCGGGATTTCTTCCAGGGGCGGGCACATACATCTCCACAGTGGATATGAAGATAGATAGATCAAGACGATCGATGGATGAGAAAGTTGGAGCAAGCATGTGAGAGAAACCACAGGATGGGATGGTGAATCTGTACTCCGTACTCCGTAGCGTAGTGTAACCAACAAACTAGATTGCACTTCTGAGCTAGTTAATGGTTAACTAGTTACACTAGTTAGTTAATGATATTGCGCTACTTGTGCCTCGCGGCCAGACCAGGGGATAGTAGTTAGCATCGTATAGTTAGTTAGTTAGCTAGCTCCTCATGATATTATAAGATTCAACCATCTCACAACAACCTCTGCATGAAATCGTCCTACATCTCTATCTATTATTAATTTACCTTTCTCTCTGATGATTTAAGCTCTCAAGAACTACCACATTCGTTCTAAATTTCGGCCACAATAAATGTACTTTCTTCTTAGAAGGCAATGCCTAACGCCTTCTGTGGAGTTATCCTGCTCCCAGATCCCTAGTGGCCTGATGTTGAATCCAGCTCTCTACTTTCCCCCTCCCCCACCGTCGCCGCCCTTGGTACGCAGAGGTGTGAGGTCTCCATCGAACGTTTGATCAAATTGCTGCCACAGGGGTAGGTATCATTCACGGTCGTACTATTATTATCCTTTCTTCTTATGTCGATCATCATGATGTTGATGCTTTGGAAATGGGGACTTTGTACGGGCTTTGCTATCCATCCACGATTCCTGCTGGCAATTGCTTATCCTACTCTACTCCTCGGTCATATACAGAATGAGAATGCCATTATCACCTCGGTCTGTCAAAGCTTCTTCTTCTGATTTTGGTCATTGGTTACTAGGGCGCTGCCCGAACACATTAGACCAGGGGACTACCGATGCCAGTGGATCTGAACTCTCCTCTCTACGCTGATCCCTGAACTCCCTAGTTATGCCGTGCCTTCCAATGATGATTTGAAGCTAGCGACGACGTCTTCCTCTCGTCTGCTATGACTCGGAAAACCCTGTTCCCGGATCTTTGACACACTCCACTCTCTACAGAACTTAAACTCGAGATATTATCAAGACCTTACAATAATAAGGCATGTATGTCGAGAGCTAGCACAGCTTACGCACGCTCCTTGATAACCTTCCTAGGAGTTGGGGCCAGGCCCTTCATATCAGCAATTGGCTTCCCGATACTTCTCTGAAGACATTGACCGTACAATAGGGTTTCGCAACGCCGCCACCAAAGGGGTTGAATTGTCGTCGGCCACTCAAGTTAATCTCAGGGGCTAACAAGAATTTCAATTTGTGTTCACCGATTCGAGTCCATCTATTTGGTTTGGTGACAACCATGGTCCGGGCATTGCTCGAGCCACCTTGAGCATCCCTGAGGCCACAAAACCCCTGTTTAGTGGCAGGGTTTGATGTAAAATCTCCCTCTTCTCCCGGATGTTCAAGTATTGCTAATGAATCTATCGTGTTCAGCGGCTTAAAGTCGTATCACTCGGGGTCGGTGAATTGATCAACCATCCTCATACCGCTCCTGAGCGTCCTTCCCAAGGGATGGATTTTTTTCATGCCTATTCTCATTTATGGATACCCTCTATCCCAACTTATGAAGTCCTGGAAATTATTACGCTTCAGCCACCTGCACCCTCTTCCAGTCGCACTTTGAGCCACTGGTCATCGTCGACTTCGGGGCCCCCGGTGGCTAGCTTCTGAGTTCCCTTGTACGGCTCGTGTGTTATTTAACACAATATACACACATCCTCTGATGGGATTCGAAATGATATATGCTAACGGAAAGTCCTTACAATTTGGATCCAACGGCGGCTACGAGCTCTCATTTCTAATCGATGGTCCGAGGGCGGACGGATCAACAGAATTCGCATTCTAGACGACAGCCACGAGGACTACCTCTTCAACGACTTACCGGGAAACAATGGCCCGGATAGTAGGCGTATTGATCGCCACTTGTCTGGACTACAGGGCTACCTACGCTACTCAGTGCCGCAGTGTCCTAGTAGTGCTAATTCTGACCCAGGTATCAGAGCTGCACAGCAACATTCGCTACAATACCCCTTTGATTAAATGCAGATATTCATCCAATCTCGGAACCGCCACCTGGCAATGCTATCACCGGCTTTATCGGTGTGCAGTCGGTAAGTACTGCATTTCTTCAGCAAGCGCAAGATATAATCTAACGAAAGGAAAAATTAGCCTTGCCAAGATATCTTCATCCGATTAGGTATCCAACATCAACCGTGTGACCAACCAGCGTGTGAACCTTGCGGATAAAGATAGAGGCGTCCACGTATCTTATACGATATCCAAAGATGAATTACGGTACGACGATGAATTCTCCGAATCCATCGGAGGCCCTAATAGTTACAAGACTTATGCACACTTGAAAGGCTTGCGGCGTATTCAGGCATCCACAGGGATCGAAGGTCGAAGTAGGAGCCCCAAACGCTTATCCGGCTTGAAGTTCGATTACTATGGCGCACCTTCAGCTATAGTAAGACAGTGGATGGATGACGATGATGTTTTTGAGCTCTCTGCAGACGAGAACATTCAATCCATAACGGTCTGGTTAACTACAATCCAAATCGCTCGCCTGGCATCCCATTGGCCATTGGCGACAAGGTCAAGTCCCAGCCGTACGGTTCGAGGCGACCTCTGCGCGCGAACTGTGATGTTTCAGTCTTCAGAAGTGGATTCCTTTTCATCGAATGACATGCAGATCCAATATCAAAGAGGACCTAATCAAGATCTTGCCAGTACTCTAGCTTACTCAGTAGATTTTTTTTCACCCTAACATTGCTTTAGACAGGCATTTCTTGGGTCTTGAATTCATCATATGGTCGAGTCCGTGCCGTCATTTTAGAGAAAACAGCTAGAACCTTGAGCGTGATCCCGGGGCACTTCTTGCCGTTTGACCAAGCGCAGAAAATCTACTTTCAAAGAAAAGCAGAAGTCGGCCACAGGACCAGATCATCACTGCCCATGGCTACTTCCACGACAACTCGTTTCTTGGTCTTGTATTCCGCTATGGCATCTGGGACAATGGGGCGAGCAGGCGATATTGACATGGTTGCTGATGCGCATCAAACTCTTGAATCTCCGCCTGTCTCCCAGGTCGTTGGTATGTTTGTTGGAATTAGACGTCATCACATTCAGAGTCTGAAGGTAAGAAGATCTTGACTTTTTTTCACTCCTCTTCAAATGCTACTATTACTCATGCCTCCCTGTTAATCAGTGCAAAACTCTGGAGTTTGCAGTGAAGCCTTCGGACGAGCAGGATGTGCCTTTCGGAAAGACATGCATATTGTTTAAAGACAAGGCGTCAGCGGCAGATTACACACCAATATCCCATACGGAATTGGTATATGGACCCCCAAAGGAGGTGAGATCTGTTGGTATTTATGTCAGCTGTCAGGCTATACGAGTCCGAGGGTGATGCAGTGAAGTTAACGCTAGCTCTTCAACTTCATCATAGTCTCATAAGCTCTCTGGCTAAGAGGTAGAAGAGCGTATCTCTATTGCAAGCTCATTCAAAAAACTTTCATTATATTGTCATTCAGAATGCGTTGACTCTGCTGTCACGTCTACTCAGCGCCGTCATGTTAACAAGTTAAATAATTATCATGATCACAGCCTGTCAGGCCCCGGGACTCTTACCACCTAGGTTCAATAAACTTTTATGAGACAGCTGGCTTCTTGCCAGTGCCTGGCACCCACCTATATAGTAGTGGCACGCCTGCGTCTGCGCCTGCCCCCAACCCCTGAGACAGATTTTCAAACATCAAACAATTGTGGAAGAAAATTTTATTTTTTATTTTTAACTTTTCAGCTGCCATCGTGATGTATTTGCTCAAAATCTGGGGTTTCAGAGAGCACGACTTGTTTATGTTTAATTCCTTGAACAGAAAAAGTTCTTTTTTATTTTAATGCTGAGGTTGAATCAGACTCTACATCACACCACACCAGCAGTCACTCACTGGTGATCTCAATCAACTTCTTCTTCTTAGTGCACTAGACATTTCCTATTTCAAATGTGCCACCAACGAAGAAAGCCAAAATAAACTTTCATCAAGGGAGGTAAGTAGGTGCCAGGCGCAGATGCAGGCCGGGGCCATCAATGAAGGTTTCTCCAGACGCCAGGTTCGCTTAATTTATGTATGAATCAATGATCGCTCACAAGTTGTCAAGACTGGCCAGGAAGAACTTGCCTAATGATTCATGCATGACTCATCATCCATGAGACTTTGAATTTACCTTTTTTTTTATTTATGCTCAGTTGCATGAACTTCTGCGTCCTGGAACCTGGAAGCATGTGGTTGAAGTGTTCGTTGGGCTGGAGGCTCCCCCCTTCAAACGATTCAAACCAGGCTAGCACAAAGTCAAATCCAAGCTAGGGATTCAAAGTTCGAAGAACAGAAGCCGAACGAACTTCTTGATGCGGAGAAATGGAATAATAATACATAGGACATAGGACATAGCAATAATAACTAGGACATAGCATAGGGTTCACAGACTTCACGACAAGTCCATTTCCATTCTGATGAACATTGATCTAAATTGCTGACTGAGAACAGATTTTGATCAAGAAAGTGATCGTGTTTCCTGAAGAAAATCCCCGCCGAGTCTGATGTCCGTCCGCCTCCTCCTCCTCCTCCTCCTCCCCCCCCCCCCTTTTGTCTAATAATATATAATTCATCTGCTCTCCCGGAGTCTGGGGACAGTGGAGTGGTGGAGTGGGGAGGAAATCAGATGGGGTCAAACCTTGAATCCCCACATCTCTCCGCCTCTCTGGCTCTTAGCTCTCTTTTTTACTGAGCTAAACCTTTCAGACGCGTTCTGGTGCTGCGTTCTGGCCTCTTACTTTTGAGGTTTGATAGTTGCTCGTTAAAACCTACTCAAATCATCACATCGGACTCAGCATCAACAAAGTTTAAAAAAGAAAAATGGGTTCGACCCTCTTTTTCTTGAGTATTTGTACTGCCGTTATGGACTATATTTTTCACAAAATCCAACTGTTGCTGGGTATTTTCAAAAGCGTCTGCCTTCGTTGGAAACGCCAACATCGCTGGCTACGACTCGTGAACGAGGGAAATCCTATTCTAGGGGAGTGCTTTCGCCTTTGCCTCTTGCACACGGTGCCTCCGCTAACCCCCTCATATGCGTCTGCTGAATTGGACAACTGGGATTGAAATTCACGACCTGCTACTCGTACGCCTGCGACATCAACTCTTGGTCTTCCTGCTCTCCGGCGCTGTGAACTCGTGAGGAGGTAGACCTGTATTTTGAGTGCGAATTCGGCTCTGATGGTGAGCCTGTTCCAAGCATGGCTAACTTCGGGCCGACGGCCCCCGGGCATGAGAACAGAGGATGGAGGCTATTTGTCGTTACAGTAGTGATGATCATCGTGTCTGGCTTCTTTGTCGTCGTTCGACTTTCCGCGAGATATATTCGGAATGGAATTAGGGTGGATGACTGGGTAATCGTGGCAGCGTTGGTAGGTCAACGCCGCGGTGTCTTTGGCGCCTGCTTGAAATGGGACGTTTCTAACGAGATCACAGACTGCTGCCGTCGGATTTTCTATCGCTCATGTCCTAGGTCAGTTGCGTGTATGTGCTCGAAAGAACCGATTTATGGGTGCTTACGAAAATTTTCTACCTAGCGGTGCAACACGGGTTCGGTAGACACGAGCATGAGCTCACCCCCCAGGAAAGGATCGATGCATTAATAGTAATCTCTCTCCAAAAAACTTCATTTTGCTGGTTTCGCTACTAACTTTGATTACCCAGTGGATCTTCGTTGCTCAAGTGTTATACAAGGTGATCCTATGCCTTACGAAAACGTCGATTGTATTGCTCTACCTCCGAGTCTTTTACGCCCAGAAGTCATTCCGCTGGACTTGCTACGTCCTTATCGCATTCAACATAGTATCGGGAATTGCATTTATCCCACCCACTATCTGGCAGTGTTCGCCCGTGCATGCGTTTTGGGATCGCTCAGTGCCACATCGATGTATCAAAAATCTTGCTAACTGGCTATCATACGCGCTGATCAATATTTTGACTGACGTGGCGATCTTGATCCTGCCGATACGGCAAGTCATGCACCTCCAGTTGAGAAGGAATGACAAAATCGCCGTTATTTTTGTTTTTGCTCTTGGCGGATTGTAAGGAGATCCACCCCCCTTTTAATATATTCGATTGAGGGAGCGAAAATTGTTCAGGACTGACGGGATAACCGCAGCGTTTGCATCACAAGCATCATTCGTACCACAGTCATCGCAAAAGGGTCGGAAGTATATGATATAACATGTTAGTGTGCCACTACTCATTTTCTCCTCTTTCCTCAGCTTTATCACCAACAAAAGCCACTCAGTCATAAATTAACCCTCATCTAACCTAACCTCAGGGAGCCCGATCCCCGTCTCGATATGGAGCACCATCGAAACAAACACAGGCATAATCTGCGCCTGCCTGCCTATGATCCGACAACCGCTCTCGATACTCTTTCCGAGCCTCTTCTCCAGTTCAGAGCGCAGCGGATCAAAACAACCCAGCAGCCGAGCCAACAACTTGAGGAACCGGAGTCAAGGTCGCCGAACAGGCGAGCATTCGATCCCTACGAACTCGAGCACACCGTGGGCCCGCCATAGCCGCGAGGAACCCGTATACATGACGGCCATCAAGCCCCGCAAAGACGGAATTCCAAATCGGACTGAAAGCGAAGAGAGTATGATATATGTCCACGAGATCTCTGTTTGAATAGACATTTCTAGCTAGCTAGCTGCCTCTCTATCTACAGTCGCGATGCTTTCTTCGCTCCGCTAATTCTAGTAGTGCTGTAAGCACTGCTCCACATCTAGAAGGGGGTGTGGGGGGGACGCCTGTTAAATAAAATATATAGGATTGAACATAATTGCGGAAAACCTACTATAATCTCAGTGCTATTATGTTACATCTAAGCACAATTTTGTTTCTTTTTCTGGTTCCAATTGTTAAGAAATTCATAGCAACGGTTAACCGCCAACCGAGCACGTGATTCATGTATTGCCCGGGTTAAAACTGAGCTTTTAATAGCAATTTCTGTACACGGTTCACTCAGTTCTGTAAGATCTAGCTTTAAAGAATGGGGATAGATATCTGAGTCATAAAACCACTATAATTGTAATAATCATGGGTTAGGTACAGCTAGTAGCACTTCATTTATTGTTTGAAAAGATGATTACTTACCAATCTCTCCTCGTTGATGAGCGGATTGCCTAAAGCATCTCTTCCCCAAATTTCCCAGAACGCGGATATCTTACCCACCCATCTCAAGCCATTTATCATAATCGGGCCCTCTGGGTCTATATCGGATGAATAGCAGGCCTCGGTTGTCGGCGGCGACGGGATAGGAATGTCAGAGGTAGTCAGAGAGTTTCAGTGGTGGTCGAAAGAGTGGCTTCTCAATGATCTTTATTATAACGGAGAACTTTGTTGCAGGCGATTCTGAGAGCACTATCTTAGCAGTTTCAAGCATATCATCGTACGTTTCACTAAAACCAACTTCAAGGACGAGGAACGGTCGCGGTGAGGCAGAACTGATGGCAAGATCAGGAACGAGGCGGATAGTATCGCTATCATCAGCACCGATATAGAATGTTGAATTTGAGTCTATTACAAACGGCATTGTAACATTTCTCGAGAAAAAGTAATTCATGAGCCCCTTTCTTGTTGTTTCAATAAGCCTCTCATGAATTGGAGTTGGTATGTGTAATATCGAGGTCACTGACAGTCCTCGGTTGAAACGAAGGCGTTTAATTTTGCCTTTTGTCACATCTAATCCAGCTCAATGTCAGCATGAGAAGAGATAAACAGGAAAGAAATTCTAGAAGACATACTCTGAGCTGTTGAATTTGTCTGATAATAGCAAATACTCTTGTCGCGTAGACTTTAAACGAATGGCTTCCCGTGCAAAATCAGTGGGATATACACCAGCATAAACTTGCTTAAAGTTGATCTTCACTAAGGGAAGAAAACTCCTCATCACCACCAATATCGCGGCAGAAACCACGAAGCGATGAGTGGATCGGCCTTGGACGAATGCGATGGGCATCAGCAAGCTTGAACTCACGCGTACAGGGGAGAAGACTTGTTAGAAGTCTTTGAGTGCTCAAAACGCGTGTTGAAAGCATTCTGAGGTATCTATCTATAAGCAAAAGGTCACTCTACTTTGTAGCTGTGGTCTTGAAAATGCTAGTTTCGAGAAGAAAGGCTGAACTAGCAGATGACAAACATGACATATAATAGAGAGTTACTTCAGGTAAAAGTAAGGCCAGTGTATAACGGCCTACTAGCAAATAATAATTTAATGGACAAATAATGTTTCTTCCCATGACGCATCTAAGTTATCTCAGCAAGCTCAGACGCTTCTCCAGATATTTATTGCTGTTTTAACACTGGATTGATGATTATGTCATGAGCTAATCTCAAATAAGCAATAAGCTAACCCAAATAGTAAAATCAGGTCATGTGAGTGATAATATCTTACAAAGCATCTGAGAAGAAATGATTCCTGATTGTTAGTAACACAGAAAGAATTTACTCAGTACTCTGAGTATGAAAGAGAATTTCAACTCAACTTCATAGATTCATCATTTCTGTATGTAAGAAATCCCGCTCCTCGCGGATCCTTTACCTCTATTTCTATCTCTTGTGTAATCAATAGGGCTAGCGGCCCTTGGCTACACACAACTATATAGACTGAAGTTCATGAATACTATTCATAACTCAGCTTGAATACTATTATATATTTAATTTCTACATTTTATCTTTCTACTGTAAATACTTCTAGTAGTTAACAGTATATATCACATCAAGCTGTAAACACCTGAATAATCATCTGTAAGCACTTATTCTTATATTTTAAACTCAGTCAGTCAGCAACTGTCTGTTATGACTGAAAGAACTAGAAACTTATATACTTTAATTTCTGTAAACTCTATTACAGACACTCAGAAGCAGTCACTTAAATCATGAATAATTCTTATAAAAGAAGTCTCAGAGAACTTATTAACTACTTATAAGATATTATTCTCTATATCTGTAACAGAGAAACTCTTCAAACTTATAAATAAACTAATCTCAGTGAAGAATATTCTTAAGCATCTTCTGCAGAATTAAGCTATTTTTCTATAAAAAATACTTACTATCTGTAAACACTCTTGAACTGAGTCTCTAGACATAATCTTTAGAGATACTTATAAACTGAAAAGAAACTTTCTTAAGCTATGATTACTTAAGACTACTTATTAAATCACAATCTATAAAAGCTTTTATAAGTTTGTATTTGAAATTAACTTATAAGTCTGACTGTGTGAAATAAAAGATGAAGAAGCTGTTATTTATATAATAACAGATCTCTATTACACTGAAGTTAAGAACTGACTGAATTATTTAAAGAATGATTATAAGAGATTCTACTGATCTATTCTTAAAATCTATTTAGAGAATAAGTTGAGAGACTCTGTAAGCTGAACAGAGAATATCTGAGCTGTAATTATTAATATTAGAAAAAGAGATAAGAAATCTGATAAAGACTACTTACAGTACTTTATGAAATTATAATATGAATTGAGATCTGTGAAAACAGAGCTCTGAAACAAGATTTAAATAATAATATTTATAAAGAGACTGAATAAAGACATGCAGAATAAGCTCATTAAGTAAGACTCTAAGTTCTTAACTCTGAAGAAACTGATGACTCTTATTCATTACTTATAAATCACTGTAAGAGTCACAGATCTGCAGAGAGCAGATCATTGACTAGCTCTGTAAAAGTCAGAATAACAGAGAACAGATTTATTAGAAAAAGATAATAAGACTTAGAGAGATTTATATCTGACTACTAAGTAGAGAGAGAGAGTCTTATAAGCTCTTATAAATAGAGTGTATAATAGAGAGATTAAGAAAAAGAAACTCTGCTTTATCTGTTCTAAATCAGAATATCTCTGTACAAACTGTTCAGATAAATTAAAATGAAAATTTAAGAAGTTACAGACAGAGTTAATAACAGTCTTCTTAAAAGTCTTAAAGCTGATATCTGAATCTGTTACTTCTCTGATAAAAATACTTACTTATAAGAAGAGACTGCACTGTGATACTACTGCTCTGCAAGTATAAGAAGTATTAATAAACTCAGAATCTCAGATCACTGTAGTGTTTCTAAAGCTCACAGAGTGAATAAGTTAAATAATGAAAACTGAGAATCTGCTCTTATAATAAGCAGAGTGTGAGAACTCAGATCTGAGAACTGAGAGACTCATAAGAGTTATCTTTGAATTACAAGATCTCTCTGAAATCTGAAGAAGATTTGCAGAAACTGTGATTATTACAGACATTATAGATAATATGTACTTGAGACTTATATAACTTTAAAGACACAATCTGTACATAGCTATTTATAAGTCAGGTTTATACTTCTGATCAGTGTTAGCAGACTTACTTATAGAGATAGAATCAGTTAATACTATAGAGTTGATTAGAGAACACAAGCTTATCTATGTAATAACTTTATAAGTGTCTGAGAATCTTACAGTCATGAAAACTGAGCTTCAGATATTAGAGAAATACTGAGATCTCACAGAGATATTCAGCTCAGTAAAGACAGCTGAGCTTCTCTCTCACTATAAGAAGAATCTAATAATAGATTTAATAGAAGAGTAGAAACTCTTCTGAGAATCAATCTATAAGCTCTCTCATTATAAGACAGAGATCTTGCAGATCTATGTAAAGAAGAATCTGAAGAATGACTTCATTCAATCTTCACAGATCTTCACAGAAGTCTCTGTGATATTCATGAAAAAGAAGAATAAAGATCTCAGATTATATATAGACTATTATAATCTGAACTTCAAGATAATAAAGAGTCACTATTCTCTATCTCTAATTAAGAATATGATTAACTGTCTCACAGAAGCTGTCATATTCATATAACTGAATATAATTAATGTATATACACAGCTGTGAATACAGTCTGAGAATGAATAAAAGACTGTCTTTAGAACTGCACTGAGATTATTTAAATATCTAGTAATATCTTTTGATCTGACTAATATCTCTGCAGTATTTCAGTCTTTTATTAATAAAACACTTCATACATATCTGAATATCTTCATGATAATATATCTGAATGATGTGATGATATACTCTATGAAGAAGAAAGAACATACTGAGCATGTACAAAGTGTGTTGAAGATCTTAGATGAGACAGAACTGTATATTAAGCTTATAAAGTATAACTTCAGTGTCTGTTAAATTAATTTTCTAGAATATGTAATAACTGTAGATGATATTCAGATGAAATCTTTATAAGTTAAGACTATTCTATTATAACTGAAGTTAACTAGTATTTATAAGATTCAGATCTTTCTGAGCTTTGTGAATTTCTATAGATAGTTTATCTTTATATTCACAAGAATCTTCTTAGCTCTTACAGACATGCTGAAGAATGAAAATAAGAAGAAGTCATTCTATAAACAGAGAATGAAAAGATTATTGAGAAGAAAGAACTGTAAGAACTTTCTTATTTCAGAAGCTCATAAGATCTTTACAAGATTGAAACAGATATTCACAGACACAGTGATACTGTTTCACTTTGATTTCTTACTCTTAATCAGATTGAAGATAGATATCTTCTTCTTTATAATTTCAGAAATAGTCTCACAACTACAGTTAAATGAGAACTGGGTTTTAGTGGCCTTTTTCTCGCGGAAGATGCAACTCATGAAGATTAACTATAATATTTATAATCAGAAGCTTCTTATAATAGTGAAATTCTTCTGTCACTGATGTCACTACTTTAAGAGCCTTGTAACAGTGATTAGACTAGCCGCCGGGATCATGAATTTCACATTTGATCTCATTTGGTCTGATCTCATACATTTCTTGATGTGAGTCCCACCAGGACCAAGCCTCAAAAAAATCTGAAAATGGACCATTTCTGAGAGAAATGGCGTGAAAAATGATCAGATTTAATTCAAGAACAGTGAAATGAGAGTAATTTTTCAGAATAAACTGTGAAAGATGATCATTCTTTCAAAATCAGAATAAGACTGAGACTGAAGATTAAAATCAGTCTCATTTGATTCATTCAGTGATTGCTTATATAATCAGAATTTAGTAATGATTATTGATAATGCTCATGAAACAACTAAATACATTCTTATGTAAGTTTATTCTTCACTTTCTCATGAAAACTACACTTCTCTGATATACTGTGATCAGAGGTATTAAACTGTCTGATAATTCCATGTTTTACAATCATGAGTTTCTTGATTGTTTCTCCTTATAATTGTTCTCAGTGATAGTGATAAATATCTTGACTTGAGTTAAACTTTCACTTCATTCTCACCTCTGTCAATGAAATTGTCAGAATATCACATGTCATCAGTGTAACAGTTGAATATGTACTCTTAACAATTTTTCATAACTCTAGAATTGATTTGATGTGTAAATTTGTCAGATCATCTTGAAAATAGCAGTCAAATTCAGTTTTATAAGCATGTAGTTTTATCTGATTTTCAGTTGCAATCAATGTATGCAAGTTCTGTTTCAAAGTTAGTATTATAGTTCTATGTGATATGAAGTGTTATCAAAGATTGTTACTTACTAGAGAATTGTATTTCACTGTCTCTATATCTTGAACATCTGCTCATTCAAATCTCTGATAGTTGACATTGTAGTAGTCTCAGACTAATTTGACATATGAGTCTCATTTCTTCTCTGTTCAATCTTGAGAAGTGTAGATGTTAACTCAACAGAAGAAATCTAGTAGAGCTGCTACAGCATAGTACTCTGCAAAAGATTGTTCTGTTTTACTGTAGTAATATACTAGTTTATCTCTTGCAGCAACAATAGCCTGTGCTATAGCATTATTTCAGACTGAATTTCTTTTTGAGTGATTCAACTGCTTCTTAAGATGAGTAAATAAACTGTTATACACTCATCAGGCTGACTGCAGCATTGATGTATGAGTGATTGAGACTGTCTTTATTATCTTATAAAACTGAAACAGTAAATCAATCACATATTTCAACTGAGTTCACTTCATATCAG